CATCCCATTCACCTAAGGACAAAGCAATCAGGTAACCTCACTAAGGATTCAGCTTACCTGACCCTCGCATATACCTTGCCTATACGAACCTATGTTTTTCATGCCCCATGTATATATGGGGAGAACAGTGTTCCAGGGTCAAAACTTTTCTACAACAAATTAATCATACTCACAAGAAAGAGCTACACCACAGGGATGTCATACAGTGCTGGGGAAATGGGAAGTGCTTGCTAGAGTTGGGAAATAAGAGGTAGTGTAGCTGCAGATCCTTGGATCAAGAATTCTCCATCAACATCAAGGCAACCCTTCTGAAGGGTAAAGGCAATAATAGTGAAAAAATTTAGTTGTGTATTCTTCAGACTCATCACTCGTATCAAACTTTCCTACAGAGCTTTCTCCCAGTTTCTATTTTAAAATTGAAGTTACCCATAATTTTCAATTAGTGATTCACATTTTGTTAATCATGGTAAGGTATCAATAGTGTTCTTGAATTTCTTCATCTAGGTAATCTGATTGAAGTGTATGCCTGCAAAATCTGAAGCTCATGCCAATTTCACATACAAACCCATATGTATATACAGATACGTACACACATTTATATTTGAAAAAATTAGCTAAAATTGTAATGGAACAAATTGTGCTATATATCTTTTTTTTTTTTCTATTGAACTTTTGGTGGCTTTAAATAGTTAACCATCATTATTTTTTTAATGAACTTCATAATCATTCCAGAAAAGGCAGAATTTATTTATTGTAATGGCTAGATTTTTAATTACTGATTGCTTATATTGTATCACTTATTATTTCTCTCATTAGTGAGGTTTTTGACCTAGAAATGTATATGGTGTTATTATTTGCTCAAGAAAATTTATTGTGTACCGGGATAAATTTGCTCAAACTTATATGTACTGTATGAGATTTTAAAAAATTATTGTACTGTGTGTTGACTCAAGTTTCATTCCCACATCCTTTGTCTTATACAATCCAGCACATTATACACTGCATGTGTTTTTTAGGAAGAATCTGTTAAAAGAGTAAAACTACTGTAAAAAATGTTTGTAAAGAATTCTCTCATTAACTGACATACAGTGGAACTTCGACTTACGAGTGTCCCGATATACAAATTTTTCAAGGTAAGAGCCATCGCTTGGTCGATTTTTTGCTCTGAGTTACGAGCAAACATCCAAGTTATGAGAGAGTTTACCCTACTTCCCCCTCAACCCACAACCCATACACCTCACTTGTTTATCCATGATTTCATGCTTTAATTCCATGAACATCTCCCTCTTTTTCTTCTCAGCACTGTTCTTTGCACCTACTTTCCTAGGACCCATGGTTAGAAAATAACTAGAAAATACAAACAGGAGGGAAATGCTTCAACGGCGAGGTAAACAGTGCACTGCGCCAACTAGTACTAGTGGCAGTGTTCTGAAGCTCCTCAGTATTATAATTATTATTATTATTATTAATTTAGGGAACTGCAGCATAGATTCAATTCCCAAGATCAAAAGCCCCTCACCAGCATCAAGGTTCCTTGATTCAATTCCCAAGATCAAAAGCCTCCAGCACAGGTCCTTGATGCTGTGAGGGGCTCTTATCTAGGATGAATCGTGTTCGGTTCTTAAATTATAGTATAGTAATAATATAATAAAATAATAATTAATCTAATAATATATAAAATAATAATATAATAATAATAATAATAATAATAATAATAATAATAATAATAATAATAATAAAAATAATAATAATAATGAAGAGCTTCAGAACACCGCGACTAGTACAAGTTGGCGCAGAGCACTGTTTACCTCGCTGTGGAAGCATTTCTCTCGTGCTTTGCTTGTATTTTCTTAAGTTATTTTGCCAAATTTCTTTTTTCTAGCCATGGGTCCTAAGAAAGTAAGTGCAAAGGACAGTGCTGAGAAGAAAAAGAGGATGACGTCCATTAAATTACAGCACGAAATCATAGATAAACATGAGCAAGGTGGTGTGCGGATTGTTTGGGAAACAGTATGAGCGTAGTAGCAAGTAGCCCATCTTCCACTCTTCACCTCCACCAGCATATGTACACTTTATAAAACCAGTTTATTTCTTTATATTCTCTGTTATGTTTTATACAATATTTCTTATTTATATATACAGTGGACCCTCGACCAGCGATGGCATCGATTAACGATAAATCTGACTAGCGATACATTTTATCACAAAAATTTTGCCTCGATTAGCGCTAAAAAATTCGACCAACACTATTCGTTCCGTCTGAGACGCGTCCACTTTTGGCCAGTGTTTACAAGCCAGCCAGCCACCGCGGTCGCTTCCAAGCATACAATCGGAACATTTCATATTATCACAGCCTTTTTAGTGATTGCACCTGCAAAATAAGTCACCATGGGCCCCAAGAAAGCTTCTAGTGCCAACCCTACAGCAAAAAGGGCGAGAATTGCTATGGATATGAAGAAAGAGATCATTGCTAAGTATGAAAGTGGAGTGCATGTCTCCGAGCTGGCCAGGCTGTACACAAAACCCCAATCAACCATCGCTACTATCGTGGCCAAGAAAACGGCAATCAAGGAAGCTGTTCTTGCCAAAGGTGCAACTATGTTTTCGAAACTGAGATCGCAAGTGATAGAAGATGTTGAGAGACTGTTATTGGTATGGATAAACGAAAAACAGATAGCAGGAGATAGCATCTCTCAAGCAATCATGTGTGAAAAGGCTAGGAAGTTGCATGACGATTTAATGCCAGCAACTAGTGGTGATGTGAGTGAATTTAAGGCCAGCAAAGGTTGGTTTGAGAGATTTAAGAATCGTAGTGGCATACATAGTGTGATAAGGCATGGTGAGGCTGCCAGTTTGGACCAAAAAGCAGCTGAAAAATATGTGCAGGAATTCAAGGAGTACATAGACAGTGAAGGACTGAAACCTGAACAAGTGTTTAATGGTGACACTGACAATGTTGTGAAACATTTTAGGAATGTCATAAAGGAACGGGAGGTACAGGCCTCTATGGGCAGATATGTTGTGCGACAGAGGTCCAGTGACTCTCAAGCTGGTCCTAGTGGCATTAAAAGAAGAAGGGAAGTAACCCCGAAAAAGGACTTGCCACCTCAAGTCCTAATGGAAGGGGATTCCCCTTCTAAACACTAAGACCATCAACACACTCCCCTCTTCCCATCCCATCAATCATCACCAGATCTTCAATAAAGGTAAGTGTCATGTAACTGTGCATGTCTTCTTCAGTTTGTGTGTATTAAAATTAATATTTCATGTGTTAAATTTTTTTTTTTCAATACTTTTGGGTGTCTTGCATGGATTAATTTGATTTCCATTATTTCTTATGGGGAAAATTAACTTGACTAACGATTATTCTGACTAACGATGAGCTCTCAGGAACGGATTAATAGCGTTAGTCGAGGGTCCACTGTACACTGTTTCAGTGTTTTCCTTATGAAACTAGTGATATAGTGCAGTTACCCTCACAAACACTCTGTTTTCTCTTATAATAAGAGCATGGGAAGATATATAGTCAGAGCAGAGTGGCAATGGCCACCTTCGCTGCCACCACTAGTCACATAATGACATACACCTACCATCCGACTTACGACCTGCTGGGCTGGGCCGGCTGATGCACACAGCTGTACAATATTTGACAGTACTCGCGGCGGCAATGTGTCATGCAGGCAGCATCAGTTTGAGTAACCCTGCCCTATCAGCAGCATCATACTGTATTAACTGTACTAACTGGACAGTAAATTTCACCATGGCCCTAAGATGAGGTCTGAAACTTGCACTGGAGATTGTGGCAAGAAAGGCTCTTACTCTCGAACTCTCTTATTTGTTTTCACTGTTGCACATAAACCTGTCTGTATCTGTCTGCCTGTATATCTGTCTGTATCTCTGTGTGTCTGTTTATCTGTCTGTCTACTAGTGTGTCTGTCTTTCTGTCTACCTGTGTGTCTTTATGTCTACCTGTGTGTCTGTCTTTCTGTCTACCTGTGTGTCTGTCTACCTGTGTCTGTCTTTCTGTCTACCTGTGTGTCTTTCTGTCTACCTGTGTCTGTCTTTCTGTCTACCTGTGTGTCTTTCTGTCTACCTGTGTCTGTCTTTGTCTACATGTGTGTGTCTTTCTGTCTGTCTACCTGTGTGTCTGTCTTTCTGTCTACCTGTGTGTCTGTCTTTGTGCTTGTCTGTCTCAGAGCCACTCATTAAGAGTGTACTTGGTCTTGAAGACGCCATATTAATAATGATAATAACAATAATAATCACTGAGGCGCATTAAATGTATATAAAACGTTAATATAGACATTTTGCTTAATCCATCTATGATTTTTTTTTCGAAATTATATAGTAAACATGCTACATAACATATAAATTAACAAATATGAGATGTTTTTCTGGTCGGCTTGACAGTGAACAGGAATCATTCGTGTCCGGGCTGGTAACAACAACAACGTTTGTTTACATAACTCGTGAACATTCTACATTCTCATTCTCTCTCTCATTTATTCATTTAATCTTGTTTACTCACCTCTCACTCTACATTAAAACTACAGATATTTTAAGGTAAGTAATGAGTGGACACAATTATTATATTATAGCTTAATAATAATAATATTAATATTAGTACATATGTATTATTGTAATAATAATGATTATTATTATTATTAATATTAATTTAGGGCACTGGAGCACAGATCCACTGTATAGCACTTTGTCTGGAGTTTTTGGGTTATCCTAGGTAATTTATAATATGTATGATAACTTGACTTACGTGTACCAGTGAGGAGAAGAGAGAAGAGAGAGAGAGAGAGAGAGATACGAAGAGAACAGAGACGGAATACATGGTCAGGCCAGTCAGTCCAAATACCACACACCCACCCATCGATCCAGCCACCTACCCCACCCACCCAGCCACCCACCCATCCAGCCACCCACCCACCCATCCAGCCACCCACCCACCCACCCATCCAGCCAGCCAGCCACCCCGCCAACCACAGACCCGGCCAACCACAGACCCGGCGACCCGGCAACCCAGCCAGCCAGCCGGATAAGTATTACACATGTTGCAGAGTTGTTTCTCTTTACTTAGGGTATAGGTTACACAACATTCTGCCAGGATGACACTACCAGTGGTATTCTCCCATTCCACTGTGTCGACAATACATAAAGATAATAGTAACATATGATACTGTATGCGATGTAAAATTTGACAATACATATCACTACCATGTATACATTATATACAGTACATAAATAATTAAAATACAACAATAGAAGTAAATTATGGTAAAAAGAATGAAATAATGATTGTACATTACATTACAGTATTATGTAGGTAGTTTATATAGGAAAGTTTTGACATTATGCCCTACCCAATATGTCGGCAATTTTCAAAGGTTCAACTTACGTCCATTTCGACTTACGACCGGTTGGTTGGAACCAAGCTCGGTCGTAAGTCGGATGGTAGGTGTACTTTATTCATTCTAGAGTATTTATCATGTTTCTATGCTAATTATATTGTTTATTATGTCATATTAGATGAACTATGATAGATCAATAAACTGTCGAGTTGATATTAGCATCAAATTGAAGTATTTTGTTCTGCCTCCTGAGAGCAGGAATTCCGCTGGAATGGATTAATGGCATTTCAATTAATTTAAATAAGGAAAATTGATTTAATATACAAGCAAACTGAGTTACGAGCTAGGTCAAGGAATGGATTAAACTCGTAAGTCGAGGTTCCACTGTACGGTAGTTTTACTTCACATGTTAAGTATTGTAATTAATACTGAGATGACCAGAGGCACTCAAAAATAACTATGCCTTTACCTATGTTTCTTATCATACTTTTGCCCTAATATGTTACCTCTTGACAAATTACTTTGTGGAACCACTTTGACCCCTCCACCCCTCACACACACACACACAAAAAAATACCTACAGTAGGCCTACTGGCATTCACCCATTCTCACAGGTATTTGTCTGACCTGGTTTTAAAGCTATAAAAAAAATGCTTATTTCACTGACAATATTTGGTTATTTATTCCATTGTCTACAATAAAGTAAATTACATGTGGATGATACTTTTTTTTTTTAGGTGTCAAGGTTTTACAGTCTTCCCATGACAACACTCCTTTTACTCATCCTTTGTAAGGAAGTGTCTTGATGCTAGTGAAAGGCTCTTGATTCTGAGACTTGGAGCAAACCTTCCATGGATTAAACCTAATTATCCCCATTTCCAAGATTATGTATGAACCTTACAGGTCTGATGCTTTCCTATGAATATAACAGTTTACCTCCCATCTGCACTCACACATACCAGGTACTAGGCTGAAGTCTTTCCTTACCTGCCATATATTTTCAGCCATAAGATGGTTCAGGAGGGGCTAATTAACAGATAAGGCTAAATTAGCCATTTCCTGCACAACAGTCAATAAAAGTCAACAGTGTTTTCATATCGTCTGCAGAGCTTAAATATGAGGATAACAAAGATAACATGACATACAAATTGTTCATCATCTTGTGAACCACAGGTTCTGATCATGTCTGTGTGAGAGGCACTTCATTACAATAATGGTATACAATACTGAAAAGTTGATGAATAAGACATATGGGCAACACTGGGGTGTCTCTACTTAGAATATTTTTTGCCTGCATAGCAGGCTTTTTCACTTTAATACAGAGGTCATTATTATACTGAAAATGCTTATGAGCATTCTGAATATGAGGGATCACTAAAAGCTCCAAACTAAGAATGAAAACATGATGGCATTTCGAATATGAGATCATTTTATGATTTGTTCCAATACTGTGGTGCAATATTGTGATTTTTTATTCTGCAGTAGCTTTAAGCAGACCGCTACTTTAGCTAGGAATATTGTTTATTAGTCATTGTATAAGTACTGCACCTGCTTTAATGTTTGTTATAACTGATGTGGAGTGCATTGGCGGCGTAGATTACACAAGGAGTTGACAAGTGCAGGCAGTATTGTGCGACGATGACGACGGGATAGGGCCTCCATGAAATTCAGGTGGTCACCAGCACTCCATCCATAAATAACACCAGTCTGTAAAATAATTATTATTCAGTATAAATCGTATATACTTTTCATTTGCATTTAATTTTTTGTCTTACTGTTAAATATTCTGCTAAGATAAACATAGATTTGATACTAAATATTATTCTTAATTTATAATAGATTAGTACAGTGGAACCTCGGTTTTCGTTTGCCCTGGTTTTCATCAAATTTGGTTTTCGATGACTATTTTCATCAAAATATTGTCCCAGTTTTCGTTCAACACCTCGGTTTTTGTCCACCATACCAAACATGTCCGTCTGCCCGCACCCTCACAAAGCATCCCACACAAGCATTCTGAGTCAGTCTGGCTTTGTTTCTCGTCAAGTGAACATTACCCTATGCATTCATACGAAACACTTCGTAATAATCCATTGCTGTTTGTGCTTGTTTACTGAGTGCGACTGCTAAATAAGTCACCTTGGGGTCAAAGAAAGTTCCGAGTGCTAGCCCTTCGATAAAGAAGGCGAGAAACACGACAGAATTCAATGGTGGTAGAGGGCGGTAGTGATGGTGGTAGTGGTTGTGATGGTGGTAGAAGGTGGTAGTGATGGTGGTAGAACATGGTAGTGATGGTGGTAGAGCATGGTAGTGATGGTGGTAGTGATATTGGTAGAGGGTGGTAGTGATGGTAGTAGAGGGTGGTAGTGATGGTGGTAAAGGGTGGTAGTGATGGTGGTAGAAAGTGGTAATGATGGTGGTAGAGAGTGGTAGTGATGGTGGTAGAGAGTGGTAGAGGGTGGTAGTGATGGTGGTAGAGATAATCTCTCCTCCCTCTCCCCTCCTCACTGTCTTCCATACGCCAACAAGAGTTTTCAATAAAGGTAAAAGTGATTTAAATGTTCATTTATCCATTTCATTAGTGCTTTATATTTATTTCTCATTGTTTTCTGTATGTAAAACTATAGTTATTCTCTATAAAATGTATTTTTTGTTAATATTTTTGGGTGTCTGGAACAGATTAATTGGATTTACATTATTTTTTATGAGAAATATTGCTTCGGTTTTTGTTGAATTCAATTTTCGTCAGACTCTCTGGAACGAATTAAAGATGAAAACCGAGGTTCCACTGTACAGAGTATGTACTTTAAAAATTTTATAAAAATTTATAACATTTTAATACTTACTGGTATATATATTTTTTCTGTTTAGAGGAGCACATTTTTTCAATTTAATCAATACTAAAATATACAATTTTTATTGCACAATGACTTTCCATCTTACCTGCAAAGCAACAAGAGATTTGTAAGACCCTGCATACTTGATGATAACACCCTTCATATGTCTGAGAAGAGCAACAACAAAATACACAGCATAGTCAGGTCCTTGAAGCAGCACCAGGATCAAATAGTGACACACCTCCACCCAGGGCAGCACACCAAGAAATATACATCGGACCCACTCCCCGACAACATTCCACAAACATGTCTCGCTGGCCTGTCAACATAAATTTAACAGGATTAAAAATAGACAATGATATGGAGTCAAACAAAACAATGGAGAGTAAAAAGTTGCATTATAATGACTGGAACAATTGATAAATAACCCACACTTAGGAAAGGAACATTATGATGACATTTCAGTCCATCTTGGATCACTGTCAAGTCACAAGTGAACAATAGAAAAAAATAGAGAAGGCCAGAAGACAGGATGGGAGGAGGAAGGGGGAAGAATGGAATAGTAGTGGTGGTGGTGGTATTACTACTACTACCACCACCACCATCACTTAGTTTAGACCAATTCCTGTCCTTGAACCAACCTAATTCCTGGCTATTTTGTTAATATGCCTTCAATACTATCCACTGATCACAAAAATACTGCCTATTCAATATTAGAACTACCCTATTAAGCACCCATAAGTTGGCAATTTGGCCAATTTTACACTACTGTATTTTCAACAAATTCTTAGTCACTAACAACCTTCTCTCTGTTCACTAACCATGTTCTCGAGTCTCCTATATAACACTTGCCCTCCATTATGAATACATCACTCACAAAAAAATAAAAAATCCCTATTGCTCAGTTAATAAATTATTACCATGAATGCTTGGTCATGGTTTAAATCGTCCAAATTGAGGCAGACGTAGTAAAGACTCCTAAAACAGACTGAGGAGTTGGAGACCCCCCTACCCTGACCAGGAAAATTGCCCAAAATCAACCATTTCTTGCCAATTTAATGTCTATTACAGGCCACCTATAGTCTTAAACTAACCAACATCTTTTCCATTTCACTATTATGTCTGTTGGTCTATCTATTAACACCAAGAAACAGCCAATAAAAACATGAAAATCACCCTAAAAAAAAAAAATGCCCCTAAGTCACTATTTTAACTCAAAAGCAGGCTCAAGGCAGCCATTCCCATTATGCACTGTGTCAGGATTTTTGTTATATTGTGTACACCTACTGCACAGACCCATTCTCATAAGTCTTTACCAAAATCTGCCACTCACAGCAAATTTGAGGGCACTATGAATTATGTGCAAATCTACAGAACTGACATTGATCCCACTGCCATACTGTTGTATATATAGGTGACTGACAGTTAAGTGGTTAACATCTTAACATTTATAAAATTAGCCACTTCTACTTTAAATTAATGCATTTTACCAAACAATCAATCGTCACTACATGTATCTTTGCAATAGCATTTTTAACCCATTTCCTAATTTTGCAGGAAGGGAGAAAGGGGGCATTTACAGGGAAAGGATGAAAAAATATTCAAATAGCTATAAGTAGCATATAATTTTTACCTGCAAAGCCAAGTAGAGAGTTGGAATTTCTATACTTAAAACAAGTTGGACATTATGGATGATTCCTGCCAAGGTCATCTGTCCAGGCATTATTTCATGCGAGTTTGTCAGAGAGTCTGCAAATGAGGGCCATAAAACACCCCCAACAAGCAGCCCACTCAAATTTGCTAAAGCACAGCGGCATCTGGAAAAAAAAATTTAAATACTGTACCATACAATTTTTCTTTTAACACACCAGCCATATCCCACAAAAATAGGATGACCTCCTCATCCCCCCTTCCCCCAACAAAAAAAAAAAAATCACCATCATACAATGATTAGCAGGCATTACTTCCCACCTCTAGGAATCAAGTCCAGCTAACCAGTTTTCCTTCAATCCCTTCATAAATGTTACCTTGTTCACACTCCAACAACTCATCAAGTCATGAAAACCACTTCACTCCAATCTTAAATTAAAATTAAAAATTTAAATTATTTAATTCTTAAGAGCCAAACAAATAAAGTAGCTATACATTTAAAATGATTACATTTTGAATTTTATCTTATTATAATACAGAAATAATTTGATACAATAAAAGTCTCAGAAGAAAGCCAGTAATTATGAAAATGCATTATAGGTAATCTAGTTCTAGATACTGCCTGTATCTAGAACTAGAATAAAATTTACATCAGTATAGCTTGGTAGCTAATGGCCCATGAGGGTAGGACAAAAACCCAGGGTAAAAACTCATAGGACAACCCATCTAGGCAGAAGAAAGGAAAGGCAAAGAAAATACAATGGAACCTCGGCTTTCATAGGATTCGTTTTTTTTTGTCGAAATTTTGTCCCAGTTTTCATACATCCGCTTGGTTTTCATAGAGCTGACAATGGTCCATCATACCAAATGTGTCCGCCTAAGCGCGCCCATACAAAGCATCCCATGCATTCTGACTCAGTCTGGCTTTGTTTCTTGTTGAGTGAGCATTACCCAACTTATGCGTAGAACAGATTAACTCGGTGGCACTTGATGTATGCACAAGTCTTATTCCTCTAAGAAAAAGGAGGAGTAGATGTAAAATAGAAAGAGACAGGCGCTCCCTTTACAGGCGATGGAAAAGAATAACAGAGCGGCTAAAAGAGGTCAATATATCTGAAATGCATAGGGAGACAATGGTCAGAGAAATTGCAAGCACCGAACTTAAGCTAAAGGAATCTTATAGGAGTCAGGAATCGCGGGAAGAACTAAAAGCCATAAATGAAATCGAAAGAAACCCAAAGTATTTCTTCTCCTATGCCAAATCAAAGTCGAGAACAACGTCCAGTATTGGGCCCCTACTTAAACAAGATGGGTCCTACACAGATGACAGCAAGGAAATGAGTGAGCTACTCAAGTCCCAATATGACTCAGTTTTTAGCAAGCCACTAACCAGACTGAGAGTCGAAGATCAAAATGAATTTTTTATGAGAGAGCCACAGAATTTGGTTAACACAAGCCTATCCGATGTTATCCTGACGACAAATGACTTCGAACAGGCGATAAATGACATGCCCATGCACTCTGCCCCAGGGCCAGACTCATGGAACTCCGTGTTCATCAAGAACTGCAAGAAGCCCCTATCACGAGGTTTTACCATCCTATGGAGAGGGAGCATGGACACTGGGGTCGTCCCACAGATACTAAAAACAACAGACATAGCCCCACTCCACAAAGGGGGCAGTAAAGCAATAGCAAAGAACTACAGACCGATAGCACTAACATCCCATATCATAAAAATCTTTGAAAGGGTCCTAAGAAGCAAGATCACCACCCATCTAGAAACTCATAAATTACACAACCCAGGGCAACATGGGTTTAGAACAGGTCGCTCCTGTCTGTCTCAACTATTGGATCACTACGACAAGGTCCTAGATGCAATAGAAGACAAACAGAATGCAGATGTAATATATACAGACTTTGCAAAAGCCTTCGACAAGTATGACCATGGCGTAATAGTGCACAAAATGCGTGCTAAAGGAATAACAGGAAAAGTCGGTCGATGGATCTATAATTTCCTCACTAACAGAACACAGAGAGTAGTAGTCAGTAGAGTAAAGTCCGAGGCAGCTACGGTAAAAAGCTCTGTTCCAAAAGGCACAGTACTCGCTCCCATCTTGTTCCTCATCCTCATATCTGACACAGACAAGGATGTCAGCCACAGCACCGTGTCTTCCTTTGCAGATGACACCCGAATCTGCATGACAGTGTCTTCCATTGCAGACACTGCAAGGCTCCAGGCGGACATCAACCAAATCTTTCAGTGGGCAGCAGAAAACAATATGAAGTTCAATGATGAGAAATTTCAATTACTCAGATATGGTAAACACGAGGAAATTAAATCTTCATCAGAGTACAAAACAAATTCTGGCCAAAAAATAGAGCGAAACACCAATGTCAAAGACCTGGGAGTGATCATGTCGGAGGATCTCACCTTCAAGGACCATAACATTGTATCAATCACATCTGCTAGAAAAATGATAGGATGGATAATGAGAACCTTCAAAACTAGGGATGCCAACCCCATGATGACACTCTTCAGGTCACTTGTTTTATCTAGGCTGGAATATTGCTGCACACTAACAGCACCTTTCAAGGCAGGTGAAATTGCTGACCTAGAAAGTGTACAGAGAACCTTCACGGCGCGCATAACGGAGATAAAACACCTAAATTACTGGGAGCACTTGAGACTCCTGAACTTGTATTCCCTGGAATGCAGGCGGGAGAGATACATGATTATATACACCTGGAAAATCCTAGAGGGACTAGTACCGAACCTGCACACGAAAATCACTCACTACGAAAGCAAAAGACTTGGCAGACGATGCAACATCCCCCCAATGAAAAGCAGGGGTGTCACTAGCATGTTAAGAGACCATACAATAAGTGTCAGGGGCCCGAGACTGTTCAACTGCCTCCCAGCATACATAAGGGGGATTACCAACAGACCCCTGGCAGTCTTCAAGCTGGCACTGGACAAGCACCTAAAGTCGGTACCTGACCAGCCGGGCTGTGGCTCGTACTTTGGTTTGCATGCAGCCAGCAATAACAGCCTGGTTGATCAGGCTCTGATCCACCAGGAGGCCTGGTCACAGACTGGGCCGCGGGGGCGTTGACCCCCAGAACTCTCTTTAGGTAAACTCCAGGTAATTACCCCATGCATTCGGATAACATTTCATAATAATCCATTGATTTTTGAGCTTATTTATCGAATGTGACTGCTAAATAAGCCACCATGGGGCCAAAGAAAGTTCGGAGTGCCAGCCCTTTGATAAAGAAGGAGAAAAACATGATGGAATTCAAGAAAGACCTCGTAACAAAGTACAAAAGTGACGTACGTGTGACAACCTTATGCCTATTGTGGAATCTATTGTGTCTTTGGGGAAGTCCATGGGGGTTGGATGTGAGTGGCCAGGATGTGAAAGAGTTGGTGGACAACCACAGGGAAGAGCTGACTACTGAAGAGCTGCAAGACCTTCAACTGGAACAGCAACAGACAGCAGCTGAGGAAGTTGCTTCAGAGGAGGGGAAGAAAGAGGGGAAAATGTGCCTTCTTCAGTGATTAAGGACATGTGTGCAAAGTGGAATGAGTTGCAAAGTTTTCTGGAGAAATATCACCCTAACAAAGCTGTTACAAGCTGTGTCTGCAACATGCTCAATGACAATGCCTTGTCCCATTTTTAGCAAATCTTAAAAAGATGCCAGAAACAGACCTCTCTGGACAGATATTTGTGTGACAGGGGTCCAGTGACTCTCAAGATGGTCCTAGTGCCAGTAAAAGACAAAGAAGGGAAGTAACCCCAGATTGGGCCTTGATACCTGAAGTCCTTAACCCGTAAACGGTCCAAACGTATATATATACGTTCACTACCCCAGTGCCCCGAAATATTTTGAAAGATAATTTTTTTTTTTTTTTTATATAGAAAAAAAGAGCACATTTTTCTAAGTGTTATAGGATAAAAAAAAATTTTTAGGGTCAGTACTTACCAAGACATGAGGCCGCGAAGTTGGCACTTGGCGATCACCTGACGGCAACATGGAGCGCTGCCGCATGCAGAAACTCTGCATATTTACCGTTTTTTCCATATTTTTTTTTACCTTTCTTGATTTTCATGATATGATTCTTATGTTTTACAGTAATTCTTTTGATTTCAATGTTAATTGTTGCTTATACACCAATAATATATACAAAATTAATATTATATTGTCACAGACAATGTACACACTGAAGTGATTTTGCACACCTGGCTGAATCACACATTATTATCTAGAACTATATACAAGTATTTACATGTCCAACTTATGTTTCTAGAACTCCATGATTGTATGATACTCCATGAAGCATGGATTCATACAGAGTGCCACCCCACACTGGTTACAAATGTATCGTGTGTCCTTCCGCTGTTAGGGTCATTTTGTGGTGGTAACACACACAACACACTTTTTCTGGGAATGCTTCTTCTTTGGGGTAGGTGGTATTGGTACCAAGTAGTGACAGTTAGGGATGATTCGGTCTGGCACTTCCCCCACTGGCTGTGGTTGTGGTTGGGGGACAGGTTGTGGTGTGACAGGTTGCTGATGAGGGGCAGGTACAGGTGTGGAACCATACTTTTTTGCTATCTGCTTTACGATATTCAGGGAGAATTCTGCAAAACGTTGTCATTTTCCAGTCTTTATTTCATACATATTGAATGCATTGAGCACTGCAATGTCTACAAGGTGAAAAAAACAGTTTTCTATACCACTTGCGACTCCTATGCAAACAGTCAACGAACCCTATCATCATGTCACACTTGTCAACGAGTCGCATATTGTTTGTATGGTTGACAACAGCAGGTGGCTTGACAATACGTTCATTGGTCTCCCTGTTCACTTTGTCTGTTTGTACTATCTCGTTTCTGCGGATGGTTGACAGCAATGTCACGTCCCGTTTGTCATGCCACGTCAGTGCCATGATGTCATTGGCATGAAATGCTTGCGCTGCACCTTCAATACTGCCTCCACTGAACCTTGGCATATGTTTTCTATTCCTTCTCACTGTTCCACATATATCAGTATTGTTTACACGTAGGAAATCAGCAAGCATAGGGCTGGTATACCAGTTGTCTGTTTACAATGTATGGCCCTTGCCAAGGTATGGTTCCATCATTTTTCGAACATCACCAGAAATGCCCAACATGCGCCTGGTATCGTTGAGTGTTTTTCCCGGTACATACAATCACATCCAACGCAAGACAAGCATCCCTTGAACAGAATTAAGGACTCATCAACATGCTCTTGAAGGGATAAAACTAGGCACTGAATTTCTGCTTTATATAGATAAACACCTCCTGGATTTTGTATAGAAGGTCATTTCTGTTGGGCCTATTCCTGTCTGAGAAGTGCAACATTCGTAGCAACAGAATGAATCTGTTGCAGGGAAGAAGGTCATGGAAGACAGGAGTACTGATAAAGTAGTCTGTGGCCCAGTAGTTACATATATTGTTCTTATAGGTATGTGGCATAAGCATGACAGTGGCAAGGAATAAATACATTTCATCCACTGTTGTATCTTTCCATCTGCGCAGCCGTGATGATTCCCCAACCTCTGGTGTATTGTCCATGATATAGCGGTAATAATTGTTCGTCTGGGTCACTATCAAGTTCATTATAGGCTCGTCAAAGTATAACTGGAAAAAGTCGAACTCTGTAGACTCATTCATTATGGGACATTCTGGCAGGATGCCACTTCCACTCGCATCAAAATCAAAAGGCTCTGGCACGAATATACTTTGTGTCCAGTTCCACTCTCGGTCACATGGTGCAGGGTGGACCTCTGGCATGGGGCGTGGGGGAGCAGGAGGGAGGACAGGAGTGGAGGCAGCACATGGTTGAGGGGATGCCAGGCGGTCCTTTGTCTGTCCACCCACCGTGCCATGTGGTCCAGGCACTATGCCACCCACCACTATTTCCTCCATCCCCACATATTCACCTTCATGATCACTTTCACTATCAGTGGCAGGGGTTTTGGATCATGACCTGCCACGACCCTTGCCGCCGACTGCAAATGGCACACTGCCTGAATGTAGGTAATGATGCCTAAAAGTACGCTTCACTGGTGAATAATGACCACTGTCACTAGACGAATCCTCTAATGGCACAAAATCAATCTCATCGTCACTTATATCACTTTCACTATCACTAAAACACCGGGAAAATGATGGTTTCCTCTTGCGTAGTTGCCTATGTGTAACACTCGCCACTCCAGAGATGCTTGGCCCAGGGTCTTGTGTGACCACATGGCCACTCCAGAAGTACTTGGCCCAGGGTCTGGTGTGGCCACACTGGCCACCCCAGAAGTGCTTGGCCTAGGGTCTGGTGTGGCCACACTGGCCACCCCAGAGGTGATGGGCTGAGGGTCATCTGGGTTATCGTCTATATTTTCACTATTTCCTTGATTATTAGTAGCCACATCTGTGTCAAATCCACTAAACAGACCTTCCATATCACTTTCCTCGAATAATAGTGCGCTAATACGACGAGGCATGAGTGAATCACGAGGATGTGCCATGATGTTGACCCAAGATGGAGCTGATTGTAACTGGTCCTACCATGCGGTACCCAGGCATCCCAGATTTTTTTGATAATGTGCACACTGAGTGCGCACATCTATTCTCTCATGTCTACGTGACTCAGGCCTATTGCACCAATTCTGAAGGAATGAAAAATAAAACGTAAATATACGTTTGGGGCAGTAGTGGTAAAAACGTATATATACGTTAGGACCGTTTATGGGTTAAGGAGGGGGATTCCCCTTCCAAACAATAACCCCTCCCCCTCCCTCTCCCCTCCTCACCGTCTTCCATATGCCAACAAGAGTCTTCAATAAAGGTAAAAGTGATGTTAAATGTTCATTTATCCATTTCATTAGTCATTTATATTTATTTCTTATTGTTTTCTGTATGTAAAACTATAGTTATTCTCTATAAAATGTATTTTTTGTTAATATTTTTGGGTGTCTCGAACAGATTAATTGGATTTACATTATTTTTTATGAGAAATATTGCTTCAGTTTTCGTACAATTCGGTTTTTGTCAGACTTTCTGGAATGAATTAATTATGAAAACTGAGGTTCCACTGTATAGGAAAGGTGAAGAGGTAAGTTGAGGAAGATAAAAAAAAATCAGGTCAAGTCATGAGTGTTCTGAAGTTTGGAGCATTTGATGTAATGAGAATGGATTTATATTAGGAAAGTTGTGTATAAGGGATGCTTTAACAAGATGGCAACTGTGAAGGCTAGAAGAAGGGTAGACAGTTTTAGCAGAGGACCAATTAATAGATGACCATGATCTCTAAACATGACAGAAAAGCGTATTATTAGTGTCAGCAAGTCTAACACTCTTTTGTGCTAAGTCTGTCGGAAAGAGAGTGGCCACTTTCTCCAAAGTATTGGAGAGGATAAGAGGAGAAGGTAATGGAGTAGACCCCGGAAGCATCAGTAGCAGAAGGAGAGGTACAAACTAGATTAGTAGGAAGGGTACTGGTTTGGTGAAAAGCAAGTTTAATGTCTAAGGAATGGTAAGTTTGATGTCTAAGGAATGGAGGGAGTTGTTAAGAATTTAAGAGGTGCATACTTGCTTCATAGACGCATTCTCTCATGTCTAGGCCAAAATTTACCACTCACCATGTTTGAGGGCACTGAACTTAAAGAGCAGATCTGCGTGAGCAACACTGGCATCAATAACAGATCTACGTGGGTAAATCTCTCAACTATGAATTTCTCATCTGTAATTTCACATCTGCCTCCTGTGAAAGCAGGGTAACTCAAAGAAGAAAACATTCATTCAATCATGGTCTTTCTAAAAGTATGCTAACATCACATTCAGAGCACCCTTAAACTGAAACATTCCTGCCCCTCTTTCAGAGTACACCTCCAAGACTCAAGTTTGGCTAATCCGTTTTCCTAAATCCCTTCATAAAAGTTACCTTGTTCACATTCAGCACATCAATTAAAAACCACTGGTCATCATTCACCCCTATCTAACATATCCAAACAAGCCTGCAGGAGCTTCAAGCCCCTAAAACTCAAAGCCTTTGTATATATAGTATATTAAACTGTATAACTTAGTCATGCAAAGATATTAAGTACAGGTGGGCCCCACTTTACAGTGCTTTGCTGTACAGCAGTTTTCAATTATATCCATTCTTTATTTATTCAGACTTTTTGTTTTTCAGCAACCTGGCTGTATCCCACCAAGGCAGGGTGACCTAAAGAGAAAAACAAATGGTTCCCTTTTTAAATTTAGTAATGTATACAGGAGAAGGGGTTACTAGCCCCTTGCTCCCGGCATTTTAGTCACCTCTTACAACACACATGGCTTATGGAGGAAGAATTCTGCTCCACTTTCCCATGGAGATTATTCAGACTTCCTACAATAAATGTATTCACCACTCACTAAGCTAAGGACAAAAAAAATTAAGGTAATGTGTGTACTGTATATGTATTTTCTAGACCTAGCTCTAATGCTCACTTACCAGATAGTGTAGACCTGTTATCAGGCTTTTATATGCATTTGAAAGTGAAAAAAAGGCTATATTTTATTTTACAGCAATTTTTTGTTTTACAGTAGTTGTCCGGAACCTAACCAGCTGTATAAGCAGGACCTCCTGTATATATACAGTTCATTCAATAACCCAAAACTCTTGTATAAATAATATGCAGAGCAATATAAAAAATGTGCATTTCTAATAATAATGATTATGATCACTTCTATACTAAATGAATCAAAATAAACATATGAATACAGTGCTAGAATTACCCTACCTCTCAACATTCCCACCATATATAAGGAATATAATCATTGTGAACCAATCACACTTGTCAGATGATGAACGAAAAATGTTTGATTGTGTGTACTTCAAGACTTCAATTAGGTTCTCACGCACATTTCCATTGGCATTCAGAATTTGAAGCTCACTACCATACCTGAAGAGTACAATATTAGCATTAATGCAACACCCAAAAAATATCAAATTTGAAGCATAATTGTTATGTATTATTAAACTACCTAATAGCACAAGTTACGTATACTCTTGGTACTTTTTGTTAGATACAGTAGTCCATCGTTTAACACAGTAGTTACATTTCTGAAAAAGCTGTTTTAGTTAAAACTGTGTTAGACACACTGAAGAACTTATGGGAAAAATAGGGTTACATTAAAAGATCTAAATTCAATCCACAAAGAAAAATAAATATGCTCCAAATTTTTTCCCCTCCTGCAAATTGAACCATGTTAACTTAACTGTACAAAGTTTTATACAAAAATATGCCACAATTCTTCAATAGTGCTATAATAAAAATGTGCCAAAAAAACTGTGTTAAATGATGGTCTACTGTATCCAAGTTGTTGTCACACCTACTGTAGATCATTACTATTATTCTATTCATAAAAAGAGTTAAACCCACATGGGTCATTCAACAATGCTTGCTTACTGATACTGTGTAAAAGTTGAGGTTACATAAGGAGGGTGTGTATTATGAATGGGTTGCCATGGCATGATTTCTATTAGCATATATAATACAGTACAGAACAGTATATATATATTTAGGGTTTGTGCTGGGTTGCTTGAATGTGGGGATGGTCAGAAATTCATGTTAAAAAAAAAAAAATGAGTGTTAAGAGAACGAAGGTGGATGCCATAACAGTGAGTTAAAGTTAAAAATAATGGGAGAATCTGAATGAATTGCAATTAAAGGAGTGGCTTAGAGGAAAGTGGGCCAGAAGCCGTACCCTCTCTCATATATATATATATATATACTGGCTCCCTTCCCTTCATGATTCTGTGTAACTAAAAGAATAAAAAGGCACAATATGTAACTGGAACAATGCACAAATAACTTATACATAGGAGAAAGAAACTTGTGACATTTTGGTCTGACTTGGACCACTAACTAGTCACAAACTGTCTGATTAGTTAATGGTCCAAGTCAGACCAAAATGTCATAAGTTTCATTCTCCAATGTGCAGGTCTGTTCTGTGTGACTAGTTAATGGCCCAAATTGAACTAAAATGTCTTCATAAGTTTCATTCTCTTTATTTTTTTTTTATTATTTTTTATTATCACACTGGCCGATTCCCACCAAGGCAAGGTGGCCCGAAAAAGAAAAACTTTCACCATCAGTCACTCCATCACTGTCTTGCCAGAAGGGTGCTTTACACTACAGTTTTTAAACTGCAACATTAACACCCCTCCTTCAGAGTGCAGGCACTGTACTTCCCATCTCCAGGACTCAAGTCCGGCCTGCCGGTTTCCCTGAACCCCTTCATAAATGTTACTTTGCTCACACTCCAACAGCACGTCAAGTATTAAAAACCATTTGTCTCCATTCACTCCTATCAAACACGCTCACGCATGCCTGCTGGAAGTCCAAGCCCCTCGCACACAAAAACCTCCTTTACCCCCTCCCTCCAACCTTTCCTAGGCCGACCCCTACCCCGCCTTCCTTCCACTACAGACTGATACACTTTTGAAGTTATTCTGTTTCGCTCCATTCTCTCCACATGTCCGAACCACCTCAACAACCCCTCCTCAGCCCTCTGGACAACAGTTTTGGTAATCCCGCACCTCCTCCTAACTTTCAAACTACGAATTCTCTGCATTATATTCACACCACACATTGCCCTCAGACATGACATCTCCACTGCCTCCAGCCTTCTCCTCGCTACAACATTCATCACCCATGCTTCACACCCATATAAGAGCGTTGGTAAAACTATACTCTCATACATTCCCCTCTTTGCCTCCAAGGACAAAGTTCTTTGTCTCCACAGACTCCTAAGTGCACCACTCACTCTTTTTCCCTCATCAATTCTATGATTCACCTCATCTTTCATAGACCCATCCGCTGACACGTCCACTCCCAAATATCTGAATACATTCACCTCCTCCATACTCTCTCCCTCCAATCTGATATTCAATCTTTCATCACCTAATCTTTTTGTTATCCTCATAACCTTACTCTTTCCTGTATTCACCTTTAATTTTCTTCTTTTGCACACCCTACCAAATTCATCCACCAATCTCTGCAACTTCTCTTCAGAATCTCCCAAGAGCACAGTGTCATCAGCAAAGAGCAGCTGTGACAACTCCCACTTTGTGTGTGATTCTTTATCTTTTAACTCCACGCCTCTTGTCAAGACCCTCGCATTTACTTCTCTTACAACCCCATCTATAAATATATTAAACAACCACGGTGACATCACACATCCTTGTCTAAGGCCTACTTTTACTGGGAAATAATTTCCCTCTTTCCTACATACTCTAACTTGAGCCTCACTATCCTCGTAAAAACTCTTCACTGCTTTCAGTAACCTACCTCCTACACCATACACTTGCAACATCTGCCACATTGCCCCCCTATCCACCCTGTCATACGCCTTTTCCAAATCCATAAATGCCACAAAGACCTCTTTAACCTTATCTAAATACTGTTCACTTATATGTTTCACTGTAAACACCTGGTCCACACACCCCCTACCTTTCTCTTATGTGCAGATTATCTGTGGACTGCATGTAATTTACGGTAATTTTACTTAGCTTTTTGTGACGGAGAGATGAGGTGTAAACAGCCGTGATCGATAGTGGTAACTCAGAGTAAACTTTATTCTGAGTCAGAATAAAGTTAGTCTGCAAGTTTGTCCTTGCTTCTACAGATATCAGACACTGTTTCTTAACACCATATTCCTCACATATGCATACCACTGAGATGGCAGATTCAACCTTCTTTATTAGTTCAAGTTTCTGCTTAACACTGAGAATCATCACATATTTCCTCTTGTCACTACCACTTGCTTTAGAAGACACTGTTAATTGTGCTTTAGTTAATATGTTTGTTAATAAAGTCACACAAAATTAAATGACAAATGTGTGTGGTGTGAGTAAGCACAAACAATAAACTGGCATGAGCGGCTTATGGCTCGGGGAAACAATGGAAACAAACAGGTCTTGGATGTGGCAGCTATGGCCTGTACCGAACAAACATCAATCATTAGGCTTGGTCCGATACTTCAGAAGATAACAAGATACTACTCCCAACATTAGTTTGGCCAGTTTTTTGGTCTGAAATTCTGGAAATCCATAAACAGTGGTTTTTACTGTATGTACTTTATTTTTGTGAAGTATTGTAACGAAATGATTTGGTATATCTGATAATGCACCAAAATTTATAATACTGTGCTGGTTTGTGTAGCTTAGCAGATTAGGTACAGTATTCCAAGGTATCTAAACTGCCCCACCTGCAGAGTTATTGAACAGTTTTTACAGAGCTTACATATTAATTGTTCACTGTACAGAGCTCACGTGATTGCTTACACTTCTCCCTGGCCTAATCATGTACACATCAGGTAAGTTAATGCTGGAGTTTCACTTCACCCTTCCCATCAAATGAGTTTACTGACTGCACTCAAATGTCATCCTGCCAGCTAAGCAAGAATTAGGTAATCCTGGTGACCTGAAGCCTTGGTTGACAGTATAGTACTTAATTTGAGTTATTATTTGTTAAAAATATCAGAAATATGCTAGGTAAATGGACACATGTGCAACTAAAAAAGCATTTACATACTGTGGCTATCTTTTGCTCATCTGGCAGTTTTGTAAGCAAATATAAACACTATGTGGAGATAACCTACTACTACTACTACTACTACTACTACTACTACTACTACTACTACTACTACTACTACTACTACTGCTGCTGCTGCTTGCTGCTGCTTGCTGCTGCTTGCTGCTGCTTGCTGCTGCTTGCTGCTGCTGCTTGCTGCTGCTTGCTGCTGCTTGCTGCTTGCTGCTGCTGCTGCTTGCTGCTGCTGCTGCTGCTTGCTGCTGCTGCTGCTGCTGCTGCTGCTGCTGCTTGCTGCTTGCTGCTGCTGCTGCTGCTGCTTGCTTCTGCTGCTGCTTGCTTCTGCTGCTGCTTGCTTCTGCTGCTGCTTGCTTCTGCTGCTGCTACTACTAATACTGCTGCTACTACTGCTGCTACTACTACTACTGCAGCTGCTACCACTGCTGCTACTACTGCTGCTGGTACTACTGCTGCTACTACAACTACTGCTGCTGCTGCTGCTGCTGCTGCTGCTACTGCTTGCTACTGCTTGCTGCTGCTTGCTGCTGCTTGCTGCTGCTGCTGCTTGCTGCTGCTTGCTGCTGCTTGCTGCTGCTTGCTGCTGCTGCTGCTGCTGCTGCTTGCTGCTTGCTGCTTGCTGCTGCTGCTGCTTGCTGCTGCTGCTGCTGCTGCTGCTGCTGCTGCTGCTGCTGCTGCTGCTTGCTGCTGCTGCTTGCTGCTGCTTGCTGCTGCTGCTTGCTGCTGCTGCTGCTTGCTGCTGCTTGCTGCTGCTGCTGCTGCTGCTTGCTGCTGCTGCTGTTTGTTGCTGCTGCTGCTGTGCTGTGCTGTGCTTGCTGCTGCTGCTGCTGTGCTGCTGCTGCTGCTGCTGCTTGCTGCTGCTGCTTGCTGCTGCTGCTTGTGCTGCTGCTGCTGCTTGCTGCTGCTGCTTGCTGCTGCTGCTGCTTGCTGCTGCTGCTGCTGCTGCTTGCTGCTGCTGCTGCTGCTGCTGCTGCTGCTGCTGCTGCTGCTGCTGCTGCTGCTGCTGCTGCTTGCTGCTGCTGCTGTTGCTGCTGCTTGCTGCTGCTGCTTGCTGCTGCTGCTGCTGCTGCTGCTGCTGCTTGCTGCTGCTGCTTGCTGCTGCTGCTTGCTGCTGCTGCTTGCTGCTGCTGCTTGCTGCTGCTGCTGCTGCTGCTGCTGCTGCTGCTGCTGCTGTTGCTGCTTGCTTGCTGCTGCTGCTACTTCTGCTGCTGCTACTCATCTGCTGCTGCTATGCTTGCCTGCTGCTGCTACTACTGCTGCTACTACTATGCTACTACTGCTACTACTGCTGCTACTACTACTGCTGCTGCTGCTACTACTGCTGCTACTGCTGCTACTACTACTGCTGCTACTACTGCTGCTACTACTACTACTAGTGCTGCTACTACTGCTGCTACTACTGCTACTACTGCTGCTACTACTACTGCTGCTGCTGCTACTACTACTGCTGCTGCTGCTACTACTGCTACTACTGCTGCTGCTGCTACTACTGCTGCTGCTGCTACTACTGCTGCTACTACTGCTACTACTGCTACTACTGCTGCTACTACTACTGCTGCTGCTGCTACTACTGCTACTACTGCTGCTGCTGCTACTACTACTACTGTTATCTTCAAGAATGTCCTGCCTTCCAGACATCTTACCATTCTTTCTTTATATGCCGTCTTGTGTTCAAGTAATGTTTGTACTGGCATGACAAAGTCAATACCACCAATGTAATGCACATGTCCATTTACCTAATAGTATTTATATATTTTTTTTAATTTATGTGCCTATTTTAAAACTATCTGAATGCCAATATCTGATAATTTCCTTATTAATACAACCAATAATAGTTTTTTTTTTATATTAAAAGGCTTTTGTAATTTGGATAGTAACTATGAAAAGACCTTTTCAAATTTTTCATCAAAACCCATTATTCAGCAAAATATACAATGTCAAATACCTTAAGACAGAAGAGACAAACTATGCCATTACAAACCTCAAAACTAAATCTAGAACAGCTTTCTGAGATTCTGAGAGAAGCTGCAATTCCAAACCCTCATTACTGAGAGAAACTGGTGTTGAGGCAGATGACAGGGTTACTCCCGGAACTAAGTTAAAGGTATTAGAAGCAGAAGCAGGTGGAGGGGAAGTAGGTGTAGTAGCTGTGGAGGAGGCAGGCAGGGAGGTGCTTGAGCCAGGCAGCAACTCCTCAGCAGAGGCCAAGAAGACACGAACAGAATGGTCTATGATGTCCATCACCAACCAGCTCTAGTTATTCAGTAAGTGTTAAAAATTAAAATTAGCAGACTTTTAACAAATATTGACATGATTCAATTGCTGTTTACAAAGTGTTATGGTCTAAGAAGTCATTAAGCACATAAGATAAAAATGTGAATAAAGCACTGGCTTAAAAACACACAAGAGTAAACACTTTTGCATATTATTAGAAAATATTTGGGTCCTGGGACCCTGATCACTATGAGAAGTGATCAAGGTCCCAGGACCCAAATATTTTCTAATAAATATGTCTTGATATTTGCTCATGTGTTTTTTTAAACCAATTTACTGGTATTTATTATCAAGGTTTATGTCAAATAAAGTACTGTACAACCATATACACTAGATAAAACTAAATTACTTTTGCAAACTAAAACTACAGTGGACCCCCAAATATCGCCAGTGCAGAAATCAGCCAACTCGGAAATCAAGCACTTTTTTCAGCAAAATTTCCCCCCAGATTTTGGCCATTCGCTCAGAAATTGTTGGTATGAGATGCGTCCACTCGTCGGCAAAGCACTTCCTCAAGCGTGTCACACTCAGTCTGCGTGTCTCTCCTGTTGGGTTAGGAATACAGTGGAACCTTGACTTATGAGTTTAATCCATTCTGTGACCTAGCTCAGTGGTATTCATTTCGCGGCTCGCGAGCCGCCAGCGGCTCATGATGACTCAATTCACGGCTCTCGAAAAATATATAAATTAATAAAAAAAATATATAGAAAAATAATTTTTCAAGTAAGATACATATTTTCATGAGGTGAGATGGAAGACGAAGTCACAGTAAGAGATAACATTCTAACATTCCTACCCTAGTCGTACAGAAATCATACGTGTCCACTATGGGAAACTGATCAGGGACACGTCTAGCTAGGCGTTGGTGGTCTCACTGAATCAATTGAGTTCAAGCTTTCGGGGGAGACTGGACGTATTTCGTTACTCTTGGAGATTTGTGTTTGAAAATAGGCAACAGATATTTGAGACTGCGGCAACATATATGAAAGTAACAACTTAACTGTTGCTGCTTGTGGAAGCTAGCTGCGATGGGCTAGTTTTACTTGAAACCAAAGTGCAGTCAAGTAGTGTCCATTATGATGGATCGATTTGAGTTAAGCAGCAGCTAGCACACTTCCGCTCATCACAGCATTAAGTAAGTTTGGTCTTTATTTTGCTATTAATAACAAGATATGCAGGCTAATATTACCATGTCTAATTTTTCTCATTTACTATATTGCACTAGCAGCTCAGTACTACTTAATTTAGTTGAGTTACGCTAACTTGCAGTAGCTGCGGCTCACTCAATCAATGTGTTTAACCGAAGTGGCTCTCTTGCAAAAATTAGTGAATAACACTGACCTAGCTCATAACTCTATTTGCTTGTATATCAAATCAATTTTCCTCATTTAAATTAAATGAAATGCCATTAATCTGTCCCAGTGGCAGGACAAAATATTTCAATATATAGTGGACCCCCGGTTAACTGATATTTTTTCACCCTAGAAGTATGTTCAGGTGCCAGTACTGACCGAATTTGTTCCCATAAGGAATATTGTGAAGTAGATTAGACCATTTCAGACCCCCAAACATACACGTGCAAACGCACTTACATAAATACACTTACATAATTGGTCGCATTCGGAGGTGATCGTTATGCGGGGGTCCACTGTAGTGCTATCAACTCTATGGCTTATTTATCTATCACAATTTATCTAATATGACATAGTAAACAATTTAATTAACAGAGAAACGTGATATATACTCTAGAATAAATAAAATAGGCCATAATGCGACAAGTGATGATGGCGGTGGAAGCAGCGGCGGTGGAAGCAGCGGCGGTGGAAGCAGCGGCAGTGTCCGCGTTTCATCCTTTTTCTATTGCTTAATTGCTTAACTAACTTGCTACACTCTTAATGCTACACTTTATCACTGAATTTAAATGACACAATTTGTTTTGCTTAATCACTGAACTTAACTGATATGGTTTGTTTGATCGCTGAACTTAACTGATACGGTTTGTTTGATCTCTGAACTTAACTGATATGGTTTGTTTGATCGCTGAACTTAACTGATACGGTTTGTTTGATCACTGAACTTAACTGATACGGTTTGTTTGATCACTGAACTTAACTGATACGGTTTGTTTGATCTCTGAACTTAACTGATACGGTTTGTTTGATCGCTGAACCTAACTGATACATTTGCTTTAATTCCATGGATATCATCCTCTTTTTCTTCCCAGCACTGTCTTTTGCACTTATTTTCTTAGGACCCATGGTTAGAAAAAAGAAATTTGGCCAAATGACTAAAAAAAATGCAAGCAAGCACAAGAGAACTGCTCCCATGGTGATGTAAACATGTGGCAGCATTCTGAATTATTATGGCATTACAAATGTATTATTATTATTATTATAACATATTATTATTATTATAATTACAGTGGTCCCTTGTTTATCGTCGTTAATCCATTCTGGAGGTGCAACGATTATCGAAATAGATGATTTTCCAATCAATTTTCCCCATAAGAAATAATGTAAATACAATTAATCCGTTCCTGGCACCCAGAAGTATTAAAACAAAAAATTTTTTTACATGAAATATAGATGTAGTACATACACAATACAATGGGACATGATGAATGAAACATTAACAGCATAACACTTACCTTTATTGGCGATTCTTCTTAGTGTATGGAAGACTGGAGGAGGAGAGAGATTGGATTAGTTAACTCTTTGGAAGGGATTCCCTTTCCATCAAACCTCAGTTCCAATTCCTTTTCTGGGGTTACTTCTCTTCTCTGTTTCTTACTGCCGCTGGACCAGCCTGAGAGTCCATGGAGTCCTGTCTTCGCACAAAAAAAAGTGTCCAAAGCTCTATTTCTGGCTCTCTTAAACTTCCCTAAATGGCCAAGATTCTGTCACTGTACAAGTTCCGATAGGCGTGCAACATCCTTCTCATGTGATGTTTTTTCTCCATAAATCTTTCCTTCAGTCTCCTTTAAATTTTGAAGGAAGGCAACCTTTCTTCCATCTCTCTTCCCCTCTTTCTGCAGCAATAAATTTGATGCTGGCTGTAGACTGTTAATTGAAATGCCTGCAGCTCCTCAGTGGTTTAGCTCTTCTGTGTGGTCTCCACAACTCCTTTCAAAATTTCCCCAAAATTCAGATGCAACCCCCATGGAACTCCAAGCACAATAGAGTTCACAATTGATCATAGGTCATCGGGTCACCACAAACCCTTCAAAACCACTCGTAGACACAATCTGGCCACATTTTTTCTCCAAGCAGACAAACCGAAGTCACTCCCTCCAAACATGCTTACTCATGGTTTTCGCAATGGACAACTGAATGTTCTTTAAAACTCCCTAGGCAAGTAGGCACGTCACATAACCCACCTTTGAACATTGGTTTGGTGTAGAGTTTTTTAAAGTTAGAAATGACCTGCTGGTCCTGGGCTGGAGGAAGAGTGGGATTTGGGGCAAGAAACTTTACTGTGATGACCCCCAAACTCCTGCAGAATTATCATCCAAGTTTGGAGGATGAGCATGTGCATTGTCCCTATTACTAGGGGCCCTTTTGAGATCCAAATTTCTTTCCGGGAGGTAATTCTTCACACTAGGGCAAACACTTCATTGAACCACTCAACAAAATTTCCCTCGTGACCCATGCTTACTATTAATCTCCAAAACACACACAATTTACTCTTTCATATCACTGTTTTTACTGAACACATTTGGGAGTTTCAGATCTTACACTAGTAATGGCTTACTTTAAAATCCCCACTAGCATTACACAGAACAATGAGCTTTTCAGCCTATCTTTCAAAGGCTTGTGTCCTGGCAGCCCTTTCCTTCTGAGTAATGTGGTCCTCTTTGGCATTTTCTTCCAAAAGAGGCTCGTTCATCACAATGACACTGTTCAAGTTTCAGCCATCAGCCTTAGTACTCCTTGATTCACTTACGAATTTTGTAGGTCAAATTTGTCCGAACTGGCAGCCTCACCATGCCTTATCACATGTGTATGCCACTACGGTTCTTAATTCTCTCAAACACCTTTGCTGCCTTAAATTCACAAATATCAGTACTCGTTGCTGCAATTTCTTTACCAGATCGTCATACACACTGCCTGCCTTTCACAAATAATCGGAACGTCATAAGACTATCTCCTGCTAATTGGTTCTCATTTATCCAGCCAATAAAACTCTCTCAGCCTCTTGATTACTGGTGATTTATATTAGTCAGCATATTTACCCCTTTGCAACAATAAACTTCCTTGATTTCCTTTTCTTGGCCAAGATGGAAATATGGTGTACGAGATTTGGTTATACATCCAGCCAGTTCGGCACACCGTACCCACTTTCATATTGTTCAATGTGTTTTTCTTAAATTACAATCGTTATTTCTCACCTTCTTTTACCACAGGCTTGGCGCTGGGGAGCTTTCTTTGGTGCCATGGTAGCTTATTTAGCACTTGCAAGCACTTAAAATGAAGGGAATAGTATTATGAAAATTTTCGTATGAACAAGTGAGGGGACTGTCCTTCACGTAAAACAAATGGCACACTGGCTGGGAATGAGGCCGAGGCGACTCAGAGCCGTGAGTATGCGCCCGGGGACGAACGAACGATTATGTGGTAAACCAACCATTTTGTGAGCCAATTTTGGATTTTAAAATAACCGACGATTTCTAAAGGGGAAACTATCGAGCCTATGATATCGAGGGCCACTGTATTATTAATTTAATTATATTATTATTATAATTATTATTATTATTATAACATTATTATTATTATTATTATTATTATAATTATTATTATTATTATTATTAAAATTATTATTATTATTAATTTAGGAACTGAACTCACTTGTTATTATTATTATTATTATAATTATTATTATTATTAATTTAGGGAACTGAAGCTCACTTGTTATTATTATTATTATAATATTATTATTTTTATATTATAATTGTTTTAACTTATTTGGTCCAAAAGTTTCAC